CGAGTTTTGTCTTGTTGCTGTTTTGTTTTTTTTAACCAGTGATCCATTTTTAGATGCGCCAGCTTAGCAGAGGAAAAAAAAGGGGGGAGGGGGAGGAAGACAAACAACAGACTGGCTCTAAGCTTTGAGGAATCTTTGTATTACGACACCACTCGGGAAGACAGGCCCTTCGTACCAGACAGGAAGGCAGGCAGGCGGGCGATCCGTGGCCAGCTGAAATCGTGTCTGCATCTCAGAAGACGTTAAGTAACAGAGCCATAAGGCACAGAAGTACTGATGGCTAAGACTTTATTGTGACCTAGCTGGGGTTGGGGGCACATTCTTACTCAAGGGTTCATTCCTGCAGGGACATCTGTTCCTTTCACGGGCATTCGTCTTTTTCTGCCCCGAGATTTAAAACCCTCGGTGTTTTCTGAGAGGAACAGTTGGGGGAGATAAATCCAGTAGAGAATCAATCTGCAGTAATTTAAGACAGCTGTCCATCTCTCGCCAAGTAATTAAAGAGTTGGGGTTGTTTCCATCCTCTGACCAACTGAGGCTGTAGATGGCTGATGTTCGGACGCAAGGTGCACAAATTTTCTACTTTAGGCCTCCGTTGTCATTTTGTTCCATGCGGTGTCAGACCAGGTGAGACCAGACCAGACCATGAAAATTCAGGCCAAACAAAATATGTTGGGCTTCAAGGTGGCATGAGGCTCTGCTAGTTTTGCTACAGCAGGTTAAACATTGTTAACCTTGCCCTGCGCTTATTACGAAGGGATAGGGTAGGACCGCTGTATAGCTCAGTGGTTTAAGCATCGGGCTGTGGAGCCAGAGGTTGGGAGTTCGATTCCCCACTGTGCCTCCTTGACAGGGAATGGACTTGATGATCCAAAGGGTCCCTTCTAACTCTGCAATTTGAAGATGATTATTATAATTCCAGCTAAGGGTGACTAGGATGGCAGTTGGTAATGAGGGGCCAGCCACGAAGCTATGGACCAGTGTATTCGCAAAGGCTTTCACGGCCTAATGGTTGTTGTGGATTTTTCAGGCTCCTTGGCCATATTCTAAAAGGTGTTCTTCCTGACGTTTCGCCAGTCTCTGTGGCCGGCATCTTCAGAGGATTGGAGTAGGAACTCTGTCCATGCTCTGTGAAGCAAGAAATGTGTTCCCAATGAACAGAGCACAGACAGCGTTCCTACTCCTGTTCCTCTGAAGATGCCGGCCACAGAGACTGGCGAAACATCAGGAAGAACAACCTTCAGAACACAACCAAAGAGCCTGAAAAACCCACAACAACCACTATGGACCAGTGTTCCCATCAAAGAGAATAGCTGGCCATCAAAGGCTATCATATACCGAAGGCAACATGTAATCCTGGCATTTTCAAGTTTGCAGAAGAGCTTCTAGGCATATTCTTGAAATGTGGGTCTGGTGTTTACTGTCCCCCCACGTCTTACTATTTGCCCATCTACCTCCCTGGGCGTGGCTCAACCTCTGCTCTCTGATGACTCTTACCCTTCACAATAAGGAAGTCACTTGACCCCACAGCGCCCTATTCATTTGCCGGCACCACTGCCCTGTGCTGAGGCTTCAGGCCACTATTGGAGCGGTGCCCCAAATTCTGCCCATTCTCGATTACCTTCTTGCAGCGCATGCACTCAGCCATGCAAGCACCCGTCGCACCCTCTTAAAAATGTTTCCAGTTTATTGACTTCTTCGGAGTGCCACTTTTGGACTGCTCGTTGCTAACGGGGATTGCTAACTTGTCATCTGTAAGATCCGAAGGTAAGAGTAAGATTACTCTCACAGGAATGCCGTCCTTCACACCCACTGCCGACAAGGAAATCTAAACACCTCCAGTTCCCCCTCCCTGGAAAATAAAGCCACCTGGAACAGATCCAGGGACTGTACAGGAAAGATTGAAGGAGGTGACGGTTAAAGAAACCAGGACCGTTTTGGCAGGAATTGAGCAGAAGCCCTGGGTAGAAGTGGAGGCAGGACTCGTGGATATAAAAAGGGGTGACCGCAATTTACTGCCAGGTTGGGAGTGGATCTGGTTAGAAGATCCCTGGATGGGGAAAGGAGAGAAGTTGAGAATTCCTAAGGAAGAAGCAGATTGTCACATTCCCAGGGGTTTCAACAGCAAAGTCCAATAAGCCAGTCCAATATCAGAAGTCCAGAGGATGCAAAGCCGATATCAAAATGCCAAAGCCAAATCACAAACCGTAATCTGAGATCAGGATCCAAAGCCTACTGTCCAGAGAACAAGGTTAAAGGTAGTCAGGCGCGTGGATGCAAGCCAGTTTTGACTTGTTGCTTCCACGAGCTTCCCAGCTGTCTGGGAGCTGATTATATAGCAAAACAGTCATCGAACTCCTGGAAGCCTTTCATTCTCTTAAAACTCAGGACTAGCTGACCCGATGTTTCTGTGGGCAGTATTCAGGCGATCGTCTGACCTTTGCGTCATGAGTCTTTGCCTAAGTCTAGCCCACTCTGGCTACTGGGGGAGGAGAATCTGGTGGCGATTCAGCTGTCGGTGCTTCTAATCGCTCAGCATTCTCCTCATCTGTAGTTAACCCCTCAGATTCCAGATCTTCAGCTGTACTCATGACACAGATGCCAGAAAAAGTGCAATAGTACCCCTAAACCCTCATATGGGGGGGGAGAGAAAAGATTGTGGCGAAAGAAGCTAAGAGAGGGGAAGGAGAAGGTTGAGAGAGAAAGGAGGGTTAGAATGGAGGACGAGGGAGCTACAACGGAGGGAACCCTCGGAGGACCATGGCAGGTGGATTCCCCCTCTCGAGACCAGATCTGGGTGGACGACCGGGACGAAGACATTGTCCCCCTACTGGAAGGGGAGGCAGTACAATTACTGAATACAAATGTTTCACTGGAGTGGCCGGGACCCTGGAACGTTCAAGGGTGTAACCCCTTTAAAGTTGAAGATTGGAAACCCCCACCTGACCCGTTGTTAGAGGGAGGAAATGGTTGGAACACCTTTGTTGATACAGGTTTCTTGTTAAATAATCCAATAAACATTACACCAATTTCTAAGCAGAGGAAGTCAGTTGATTTATTACAGGGGAAAAAAAAACAGAGCCAGACCCTGAACCCTCACATAATCCCTACCAGTTCCCGTAACTGTCAGAGATATAAAATGTCTAGAAACCTTGAAAGCAAGCATTGCTAAGGAAATAAACAAACATTTGAGAAAATGTGAAATGCAGACAACTTGTATTTTCTTATCAAGCAGAAACATATTTTTACAGCTTTAGCAACACGGAATGTTTCATTCAAAATGTAGCACCTGAAATGGACTTTAAAGACACAAAACCTTTAGTTTTTTATATGCAGAAGTGGGAATATTCCACTAAAGAGAGAGTTCTCACTATTACACTCCACAAGAAATGACAACCAGGTACAGAAACACATCCTGGATGTGAGTGTTGTGTATGTCTGCAACAGAGTCAGGAATTTGTGTCCTCTGGTTCTACACAGAACACTGTTTATGGAATTCCACTCATTCCGAAAGAGGACATAATTCATCAGGATGTTTTTCTAGATTCCATGAACTTTCTGCTTTTTCCAGTAGATTTTTTAAAAAAAATTATCCTTGGAACAGCACACTCTCCCCATATTTTTTCTTGGGAGTTCGCTCCTATCCTTTTGCAGACAGTACTGTGCTAAATAGCTTACAGATCTGACTCAGTAAAACAGCAGCTCCCCATGTTCCTACTTAAATAAAGTTTATAATCTTACAATCCTAATGGGTAAGTGATAGGCAGTGTCATGAAATCCTACCCATCTCTGTTCCAAAGAATTCAGATATCCCCCAAAACAGAACACTTTGAGAATGGGTTTCAGAGAGAAATCAGTGGCACTTCAGTTGTTACTGCCTGGATTTTAAGTTGTAATCAACCAATCTTTCAATCAGTCACTGAATATACTTCTTCACTAAGTTCAGTTGGATGAAGTACTTCCACTGCACAAACATAATACCTGTCAACATTTTTAAAAAAAACAGCCCCTCTTCATGCTTCTTTATACATCCTGCATTTTTCCATATCATATATGTTCTAGGCATCATCTAAAATGAAATAGGCTGCTACACAGACACCAGAAAACCAGAAATAAACACTGGAGTGACTTTGGAGAAAATGTATGTATGTATGTATGTATGTATGTATGTATGTATGTATGTATGTATGTATGTATGTATGTATGTATGTATGTATGTATGTATGTATGTATGTATGTATGTGTGTGTGTGTGTGTGTGAATATATAGATATATACACAAACATACATACATATATATACACATATAAATAGATAGATATTCATATATGTGTATGTATCTATATATTCATATACAGATATATAGATATATACACACACATATATATACATATATATACACACACACACATACATATATATATATATTCATATATACTAATACTCAGAGCAGCCTGCCAATCTCCCTCTTGTGAAAGAGTGACTAAAATACTCTTTTGGTTATGTAACTCAAACATTTTGGTTAAAAGAGCAAAGTGGTGACCCCCTATCTTATTGAGAGTATTTGTTCTCAAATTTAACACAGAAAAGGAGGACAATCAAGTTTTAAAAGGAGCACAAAAACGCCAGAAATTTGTGCTATTTATCCCAACAAAGTTCTTATGTTTAATTGATCCAGAATCACATCTTAGAAAATGCCTAGAGAGGACCTGTTTTGTGAACTTCAGTTGTATCCTTAAACTGCAGCTTGGAAAAGTTACTCTCTTTCTATGGATTGCAAATTCTCACAATTGGAGTTTCAAGAACTGGCCCTGAACGATTCTGGGAATTATACTTTTTTAAAAAAAAATACAGGAATTTCTAAGCTCTGTACTTCATAACCTCATCCTCCACCTCTTCAAGCTAGCCACGCTTGTGCATGTCCATAAATTCCACTAGCTGACGTCAAAACAATCTCCCTGCATTGTCTGCAGGCAATTTTCCTCCCCACAAACAACATACCTTGAACGATTCAGTCACATGTTTTGCGGCTGCCCCTGTACATCCAGCCGCGCAGTCGTTTTGACAACCCTGCAAAAGAACAGCGGAGAGTTTTTTTTAAAAAAACGGGAACGAACCCTTTTGCAAAGCAATTAGCAGCACCTGTTTCATTAAGGCGCTGGGCAGCGAAAGAGAAAATCAAAGTAAAGGTTAGCCATGGGGTGCAAACAAAACCAAATACAAATGCAAAAATAAGCGATACCTTTATAGACTACTAAAAAAAATTATCATACAATTCGCGAGCTTACATGGATTAAAATACCACTTCAGAAAATAAGATTGTCTTTCCGGGGGAGGGGGGGAGAGCTCAAAAACACTACCTGAAATCTACAATTACGACAGTCCATTTTGTTACGAGAGAGCTTGTTTTGTTTCTTCAGCACTCTGGGCTCCTGATAGGATTGGCTAAATCCTATTTTACCCTGTGCTTGGGACCCTAACACACCAATGAATAAGAACACAATTGTTTCTGAATTAAAAGCTAAACCAATAATCAGTGGCATGCCATTCCACCAAGTCAATGGATTCCTTCATTCTTTATTTTGACGTTTATTACAACCTGTCTCTTTGCGATTTTTCTTTTTTAAGATTAAACTCAAGATAGCTTTCAAACAAAAATATTTAAAAGCACAATACAATTAGAACATAATCTTTGACTTCTCAAAAAACAGATAGAAATGTAGGAATGTTCGGCAGTGCTGATGTTCTGGGGCATGAATATGTCCAGGAAAATGCAGGACTCTGAATAACACTTAAAATTATGTGCCTTCATTGTTTTGATCTGATGAATTTGGATTCCTGCATAAAGACCTCCTTCAATAATTGCATACAAGCAGAAGTCATATGAACATATAATGTCTGCAAAGCAGTGTTCTGAACAGTGACGGGCTCGTAAAATTTCAGAGGCTATCACTAGTAGAAGCTTACTCAGCAAGTACAGTAACATGTGGATTCCAACTTTTAGAAAGATGTTATGGTTTTCATTTAATTGCCATATGGAAACTCCTCAAGTGTCAACAATTATTGTTGCAGTTGTTTTGACTAAGTAAAAATCAGAATTCTTTCCTTCCCCGATTCATTTACCAAATATTTACACATCTAAGTTGCCTTAGTAATTGTGAATTTCTCCTCTGTTCTACTCTGCTCCTTTTATATTAGCAATCTGCCAAATTGTTATAATGGCCTTATAGGGAGACTACACTACATTGCTGTTTAGTATTAAATGAATTACTGTAGTCTCTAATTTTTCAGTCCCACCAGTGGGCAAAATTTTTGTTGTTGTTGTTTAAACTAACTATACATTTGTGTTATGTCCAAACTTTAAATCTACAGTACATTTTATGACAGAACAAGCATAAACCATATTTAAAGTTTTTTCAGTAAACCACAACTTTCAATAAACCACAACCGTTCCTCCGTTAGCTGTGTAACAGGTGGACTGCAGCTAACAAAAAGGAATGAAAACATTTCCCCGATAAATTGTTCAAAACCTATCATTCCTTTTCTTGAGCTTGGCAAGTTTTTCCCCCAGCCACTCTGTGTGGCTCTGATCATTATACTACACTGGTTCTCCAGTTAGGATTCTGTGTGGGTCTCTGATGGATTTTAGATCAAGAATAAAGTCATACCAAGGTGCCTAGAGACTATCAAAATCCTGCCACTCAGCTTGAATCAGGGGTGGGTGGGAATAAAGCCAAGCCAAAAACAGAAAGAAAAAGAAAAAGAAAAAGAAAAAAAGAAAAAAGAGAGTGCTACTTATATACAGTGCTGCCCCACTTGACGACAATAATGCATTCCAGCAAAATTGCTGTTAAGCGAAATCATCGTCAAGTGAAAAAAAATTCCCATTGGAATGAACTGAAAACTGGTCAATGTGTTCCAATGGGGGAAATATCTCATTGTCCAGTGAAGATTGCCCATAGAGAACCACCGATCAGCTGTTAAAAATCGCTGTAATGCAACATTTCCGTCTGGGAAGCAGCCATTTTGAAAAGGGAGGGAAGCCATTTTGCGGAGCCAGAAAAAACATCATTTTGGGAACAAACGGTTCACGAAGCAGGCTCCTAATTAACGTAAAGCGGATTTCCCCCACTGGAACCATCATTTTGCAATCACAATAGCGATCGCAAAAAGTCATCGTCAAGCGATTTCGACGTCATGCGGGGTAAGCATCTATCGGGGCACCACTGTATTGCCTCATAGTGTTTCAAGCTCTCTCTGGGTGGTTTACAATTTAATTGTATGAGCTACACAAGCTGTCCGTCCCCAGAAAGGTGGGTACCTAATTTACAAAACTCAGAAGGATGGAAGGCTGAGTGAACCTCGAGGCAGATACCTGAGCCCAGGATCAAACTCAGGTCATGAGCAGAGTCTTGACTATAGTACTGCAGTTTAACCACTGTGTCACAAGTGGCAGATACCCACTTGTGTACGAAGAAAGAGCTCTCCACTAAACCCAGGCTCTTAAAAAACAGCCCGACATTCCACTATAGCATCTTAACAAAGTAACGGGAGGGGAGGGGGCGCACAGTGGCTAATCTCTCTGTCTCTTCACTGACTCATTCACACACACACATGCCTGCAAAAGTACTGTTCTCAAGATGAAGTGAACATAACTGTGATGACGGATTGCTTTGTGCAAGTACTGTGAAAAGAACTCTGTGTGCATGGATGTGAGTCTGGGCCCAAGTTATTTTACTTCCTAACAAGACTGACAGTTTTATTATTGTCCCTTAGGCCAAGCAGAGCTCGAAATGATTTAGAGGCAAGCAATGCAGGCACGGCAAATCCAGCAGTCCATCTTTCTTTGATATTTTATGCCATTCCTGGACAAAGCTCTGTCCTTTCAAAGGCAGCAGGAAATTATTTATGTTGCCAAGAAGTCTGTTAGCAGAGACTCCTTTCCATAAACCAACTCAGGTTATAGCTTTTACAGTTTACTCTTGCCATGGTGGAATGCAGGCACATCATCCAGTTATTATTAGCAAAGACAATTCTCTTGCATCTGCTGGCAGCTTCTTGCACTGAACAATAAACAAGAGGTCTAATGAGTAATGGGATACCAATGAACAGGGGAGGTGAACCTGTAGCCCTCTGGGGTGCCCTTCCTTTCAGCCCTCAATGGCACAGACAATGATAAGAAGTGCATTCCAGCAACATACCATCCTGAATAACATACCACCATCCGCTCTCGACACACTCGTGGTTGACTTATTTCAGAAGCTAAGCAGGGTCAGGCCTGGTTCTTATCCAACTGGGAAACCACTAGTATAGGCATCCTTCAGTCTCGAGAGACTATGGTAACATGCTCTGAATCGAGGAGTGTCCTCTCCAGAACATGAAGCCCGGGTAAGGTAATATGGAGGATAGGCTGTTACCCAAGCAGCAGATCCCACCTCTCCACGCTGCTGAAATGGTCCAATGGAAAGGCAAGAGCCAATACAACTGGTTCCAGCGACGTCACAGGAGTTGCCAGAACGACACGAACTGCCTTCGGGACTCCACTTTGCCACTACTCTCTGCGGTTTCCGGCAGTAAAATAGACATAAAGAGCACAACCACACTACATCTAACCCACAGATACAAAAATATAAGATTATATTCTGTACACACTTAATAATCCAAGATGGTGGTAACAGATAAGATACAAACTACAAAATATAATGAGAAAGAAATAAGACTTAACTGACAAGCAGTTATAAAAGGAGGGTAACCTGAAATATCTCCCTGAAAACCAGTGTTTTTGTCTGCTTTCTGAAAATAAGGAGAGAAGGGGTGTGGCACACTTCCACAGGTAGGTAAAGGTAAAGGTTCCCCTTAACATTTAATTCTAGGGGGCGGTGCTCATCCCATTTTTCAAGCCGTAGAGCCAGCGCTTGTCCGAAGACAGTTTCCGTTGTCACGTGGCCAGCATGACTAGGGAGCGCCATTTTACCTTCCCACCGAGATGGTACCTATTTATCTACTCGCATTTACATGCTTTCGAACTGCTAGGTTGGCAAGGAGCTGGGACAAGCGACGGGAGCTCACTCCATCATGTGGATTCGATCTTACGACTGCTAGTCTTCTGACCCTGCAGCACAGAGGCTTCTGCTATTTAGCCCACAGCGCCTCCACAGGTAGAGGGTCCGGCTCCGAGTCGTAGACTTCCAGACTTCCCTCAGGGTGGCTACCTGCAGCATCAAAGCCTGAGAGGTGCAAGTGGCAAGGAAACTTGATCTTAAGGAGAGGCATTTCAATAGGTAGTGAGGTCCCAAACCATTCAGGGCTTTATAGGACAACATTAGTTCCTTGCATTTGGTGTGGAAGCAAACTGGCAACCAATGCAGGTGAGCCAAGACAGGGGAAATATGATCGTATCTCCAAGCAGTACAATTATCATTTTGAATCTATAGGCAACCTATGTGACTCTTACCTAGGGTAGAAGAACAAATAATAGAACTCTAGGCTATCACCCAAACAAACACAGTTTCCTATGCCTAATTGCAAGGCAGTAGAAGGCAAGCTCAGTTCCTGTGGATCAATGCTCATGGAGAACCTATTTTTTTTCTCAAAACAGAGCAAAGTCCTTGTGAAATTTCATTTGTTCCCAGAATCCCCTAGCCAGAATGGCCATCCTTGGCCATCCTGCCGCTGGTCATGCTCTTGGTTTCTCAGAACTGGACATTTTCCAAAGCTATGATGACAGAATGATAACTCAGACGATCGACACATTTGTCAACGAAGCTTCTTTTTTTGCATTCCACAACTTTTTCCAACAGTGAGACAATAATGACAGGGATGGCACATTTCCTTGAATCTTGCAAGCCAACGGGAGGTCTCATAACACTGCACCAAAGCTTCCCCTTCCACCAAGAAACTGCCTATCATGCTGCTACCTTGAACGCTAACATCCTTTTAAAATAATCAAAACCAAGAAGCTGTAGCAGAGCCACTTAAGAGTGATTTAAATCATATGCGCACAGATACACACACTCCATCACCTTGAAAAAACAGAAAAGGGAAGGCACCTGGGAGAAGATTAATGGAAG